GCTGTAGGGGGAGGGTCATTCCAGACTTTGCAAGGGAGAGGTGTTAACATACCTGGTGTACAGATCACAAAGTAGAAAGATATAAAACTTTACTATCATCTTCACCCTTCTTCCAATCTCTGCTCATGTGCGTACCTGGTGGTTGTTGCTGACCTCTTGTTGCTTGGGACCCCCGTCTCTTAGGGAGGTGGGCGGCGGGGCGGGGGTCTACTTATCTTTTCTTTGGTGAAAGCGCACATTGAGCGGATGGAAGTGTGAGTGCCGACATGACCCTCTCCACCATGAAAACATTCCAGCATACATGGATGGATTTGGGAACTTTGGGCTTGATCAACATTTTTTTTATTTTTTATTTTTTTTTAACTCATGCACATGCACATACACACACACAAGCACACACCATGACACACAAATACATAGAGAGGCTCAGAAAACATTAACTGTGGGTAATATTCCCACAGTCTGCCATCATTTCGGAGTGGATGGGTTTTTGTGATGGTGGTGCCTTTACCACAGTTCTTCTGGTGTTGCATGGGAGTTTCACTGGGGACTGTTCTGGATGCAAACCCAACCCAGAAAAAAACTTCCTTTTTATTTTTTGGACCATTTCTCGATTTATGTGTGTCATCCTTGTGCAGGGGCCATGCTAATCTTCTCTGTACCGTTCCAATTTTAACAGATGTCCCGAAGGACCCAAACCAGAAAAACTAATATTCTGCTGTTCTGTATTCTCTCCAGCAGAAATTCTCTGTAAGGTCAGAGGCAGTGTATGGGCTCCAGTTGTAAGCTAAGGAGGGAGGGCACTGCCTTGATGGATATAACATGGAGGTCTTTGCACACGATGATTACTGACTTTTTGATTGCCTGTGTATGTTTGCGGACAGGTCAATGAGTGCACTGCTACTCGGAATAATGAGATGGATGTGTCGGCACTATCCACTCAACTATACAGATGTGGGAAATCTTGCACTCACTTCTTAAGTCTAGTTTCTGGTTCTTAGGCGGATTTTGCAATCCAATTTCCAAAGAAAGAGGAAAGGAAAACACACAAAGACACACACACACGGCATACATTATTGCTGTCTGGACCCCAAGCATCATGTAGCAGCACACACACACGAAGCCCATGCAGCAAAGAGGAAAGTGAAAACAGTTCGGCGGTCCTTCCGGAAACCGGAGTAGATCAACGAGATGCCAATGGGGAGAAACAGGCAATACTGAGGAACAACGACGCACAGGGAAAAAAGGATGGCTTTGCAAGATACAGAATCAATCACCAGTTTGAACAAACCATGTCTTTCATGGACATCTGATTACTTGCTGGTGAAAGAAGAGCCACAGCAATTACAACCCCTGCCCTTCCCCTTCCCCCCCCCCCCCCCCCCCCCCCCCCCCCCCCACACACACACACACCGCCCCATAGATTACAGCTGTACCAACAATGCTGCAAAAGTTCCTTTTAATTATTTGAAAATTGAAATTTATTATTTAATGTTTTTGCATGTTCTTATAAGGATAATAGTCTGTGAGATGAAGTTGGGGAAGCATAGTTTCAATATGAGAAAACTTCTGAAGGGAGGAAGCTGGAGGAATACAGGAGGGGACAGCTGTGTTCATGCCATGAGTAACATATGTCCAAACAAACAACTTGCAAAAAACAGGAAAGCATGACAAACAATCACTAGATTCAGTAGATTTCATAAACCCATCACATACTTTGGTCATTTCAAGTACATAGACATTGGATAAGTCTCCAATTATATGTTTCAATTGCAAAGGTGATGGGATCGCTTGCATTCACTTCAATTCCATTACCACACATGCAGGCGTATTCAGCTTTGAGACTTGACAGATAAGGCTACTAGTCATGCGGCCAGTACAGTAATTGGTTATAGAGCTCATGGTTGTGTTTATGAATACCTGTAGTATAATTAGGGCCCAAGCTTGTGCAATTTTTTTCCGCTGAATTTAAAACAACTTCCGTAGGCTAACGCTCTATATAAATATGTATATACATATATTTCTTAAGTGACTGTCTGTTGACCTGTCTGTCGAAAGAGTGAAGCAACCTCCCTTGTCATTAACAGTGAGTTCAGTTCATTTCATGAAAAGATGGAAACATTTCATAGTCGCAGTAGAACAAAACTGGAGTGAGCCATTCCTGTGGAAAAGGGATACTCATCTGAAAGACAGTCTGTCCGTCTGTATCATCTGTCTGTCCGTCTGTGCTTCCGTCCGTACGTCCGTCTTTCGGTCTGTCCCCACCTGTACATGTCCGTCTGCAATGACCCCAACTAAGCAGCTGTCGCCTGTTATGGAAAGAAAGGTCAGTCACTAGGACAAGACTGTAACAGTGTCAGTCGATTAAGAGTCGAGGTAATATGCCTTCCCGTAATCCGATATCTGTATCAGACCGGTTGCCCCGTAAACAGGAAGCAGTCGAGAGAAACTGTTGGAATGGAGGACGTCACTGGATCAGACTCTTCCCTCTAATCCATGGGCCGCTAATCAACAGTCGGTATCAAACGGTTCCTCCACCGAGAACTAAAACCTGTCCTGTCAAGGCAGTCATAGACAGGCGCTTGTTTCCTGTTACCGTAGGGAGACCTGTGTGCGGAGACACTCCGAAACTAGGAACGTGTGTGTTGTATATGCGCAGTTAAATGGTACAGTGGTTGGGTGGTTTGCTGTCCGTACAGAATACAAAGCGTGTTGAAGGAAAGGAAGGCTTCACAGCAGGCTCAGATCAGATGCCTGTGCGTGGAGGGACAAAAGAGTGGGACCGTCAAAAAGAAGAAAAATCGTTATAATACTGGACCTATGCACATGTTGCAGATGGCATCTAATGGTCGCTGAATTACAACTGAAGGGACGGACAGTAAACCCGCAATGCAGGGCAAGCAAAGCAAGCAAGGAAGCAAGCAACCTGGAACTGTAAGGGTGTTAACGGAAGACAGAGCACGGAGGTGGAGGAAGGAGGAGGAGGGAGGTAGGGAGGTAGGAAGAAGAAAGGGTAAAGATGTACAATACGATGTAGAGGGAATTGGTAAGAGTAGTGAAAGTAACTCATGTCACATACCTCAGCTGAATCATGGAGGAAAATTGCGGTTCAGAGAAAAGCAGAGCAGATTTACAATATGTGAAGCATGGTCAAATCAGCTGGATGGCTGGCTGGCTTGCTGGCTGCAAGAGCATTCCAGAAGCTGAACGGGCTGTGGAACAAAAGGAGGCGATAGATATCCATCAATTAATTGCACCAAAAAGATCACTGTGAATCAGGGGAGTTCTCAAAAAACACATTTGCCCGACGACGAGACTTTCGTGCACTGCAAATGCAAGCAAAGCAGGGACAGGGACAGGGACAGGGGGGAACGACACAACCAATCCGATCAGTTTCGATGAGCACATG